CGCGCATCCGTCTCGGCGTCGACGGAGGACGTCGCCTCGTCGAGCAGCACGAGCGAAATGACCGAGATTACCCGAGATTACCCGAGATTACCCGAGATTACTCGAGATGACGTCGCCTCGTCGAGCAGCACGAGCGAGATGACCGAGATTACCCGAGATTACCCGAGATTACCCGAGATTACTCGAGATGATGTCGCCTCGTCGAGCAGCACGAGCGAGCAGCGCGAGAGCAGCGCGCGCGCGATGCAGAGCAGCTGCCGCTGGCCCGCCGAGAAGTTAGCGCCGTCCTCCGCCTGCGCGGTGAGCAGCGGTGGTGAGGTGCGCCAACCTCAGGGCGGGAAGGCGGTGTCGTGCAGAGTACTGCGAGCACCGCGCGAATACGAGGGAGGCATAGACAGTAGATACAGCCGAATACGGTCGAATGCAGCTGAATGCGCGTCCTCTCTCGAGTGCTGGTTGAGACACATGAGCACGCATCCCGCTTCAGGCTTTGTTGTGCAATTCTAGGCTCCTGCGCCACGGGCGACTGCAGCGAGGGCACCGCGTGCGCCATCTGCACGCGCCGCAGCGCCTCCCAGAGCGGTTAATTAGTGTTACACAGTGTTGATTAGTGTTGGTTAGTGTTGATTAGTGTTGATTAGTGTCGCCTCCCACAGCGCCTCGTCGGACCAGGCTCCTATTCACAGCAGTGGGTGTGAAGAGACGCTGTTCACGCCTCCCACAGCGCCTCGTCGGACCAGGCTCCTATTCACAGCAGTGGGTGTGAAGAGACGCTGTTCACGCCTCCCACAGCGCCTCGTCGGACCAGGCTCCTATTCACAGCAGTGGGTGTGAAGAGACGCTGTTCACGCCTCCCACAGCGCCTCGTCGGACCAGGCTCCCTTCGGGTCGAGGTTGTCGCGCACCGAGCCCGAGAAGAGAGTCGGCTCCTGCGAGATCACCCGAGATCACCCGAGATGACCCGAGATGACCCGAGATGACCCGAGATGACCCGAGATCACCCGAGATTAGCCGAGATGACCCGAGATTACCCGAGATGACCCGAGATCACCCGAGATTAGCCGAGATGACCCGAGATGACCCGAGATGACCCGAGATTACCCGAGAGAGTCCCCGAGAAGAGAGTCGGCTGCTGCGATCTCGACGCAATCTCGCGCCACAGCTCGGGCGACACGCTGCCTCGCACCGGCCGCAACAAAGGAGGCCTCTGAGGTTCCCTCTCGGCTATCAGTCTCGGGCAATCTCGCGCAATCTCGCCTGCGGGATAACAGCCACGCCCTCGCGGTGCTCCAGCAGCGGCGTCGTTGACACGTCCACGCCGTCCATCTCCACGGCGCCGCTCCTGCGGCCGCAAGCCCGGTCACAGCTAATCTTGGAGAGGCGGGGGAGTGAGTGGGTGTGGGGGGGGGGGGGGGGGCAGGGGGGGGGGGGGGGCCTCCCCGGCCCAATCATGGTTTCACTTTGGCCCACCCCTCTGCCAATTTTAACCCCTTTTGGGCAATTTCAAACCAATCTCGGCCAATTTTAGACCAATTTTGGCCAATTTTAGCCATTTTGGGGTCCTCTTGGGTAATTTTCGTTCCGGAAGGGGGGGCCGAACCACTCCCTTGTTATTTCGCGCACAAAGGAAAAATTTTTCCAAAAC